ACAAAACTGATTTTTCTTCCTTTTGCAAATATTGGTCTAAATTGGATATTTTTACGCAACTGGAGGCTCTCCATTAAAAATTCCTAACTTCTAGTTCACAGCAAGTAGCAATTTGAAATTTTTACAGTCTGATGAGGACATGTTGAGTCTAAAACTCCTCAAAATCCCATTTGCTTCGCATGAGATGCTGATTTTCGCAACCTTTCCAAATATTGGTCTCAAAATAAAAGTTTGCACTCAACCGAAACCTCTTTAATAAAAATTCCTAAGTTTTAATCCGGTGAGTAGCGACCTGACATTTTTACGGTCTAAAGAACACAGTTGAGTCTAAAACTACTCAAAATTTCACTTCAATCACGACAAAAGCTGATTTCTGCTCCCTTCATTTTGGTCTAAAATGAACGTTTTTAAGCAACTGGACGCTCTCAAATAAAAACTTTTGATTTTTATCTCAGACCAAGTAGCGATATGAAATTGAGTCTAAAGCAGCCACTTGAGACTAAAACTCGTCAAAATTAATTTTACTTTTCATAAGATGCTGATTTTTGCAATCTTTGCAACTTTTGGTCTGAAAATGAAAGTTTCAGGCAACTAGAGGCTGTCCAACAAAAACTCCTAACTTCTAATCCAGGGCAAGTAGCGACCTGAATCTGAGTCTTAAACTGTTTAAAAGCTTTAAAAGATTTCAAAGCTGATTTTTTGGTCTAAAAATTAACATTTATACGCAACTGGAAGCTCTCTAATAAACATTTAAACTTCTCTAACTGAGAAAAACTCTTCAAAAAACTTCTAACTGAGAGCAACTAGTGTTAGGAGGGTGACGGTGTAATTTCTGCAAAAAAAAATCACAAAGAAAAGTCTTTAGTAAAAAGAATATCTATAAGGTGAGCATTTGGTTCTTCCCCAACTGCAACGCGAAAATAAAAATTTTATTTGCCAGAAATAAACTGACCTTAAATGAATTTAGACGTTGCTTCCGGGACGCAATGTTTGTATGTACAGACTGGTACAGATGGGTTTTCTTTGGCATCAAAATGTTGTAGTTTTAACTAAACACATTTGTAATAGAACGAAGGTTATTGATTGGCAAATCAAATCAAATCCTCAATTAATTCTGTTAAAATGCCGCCAATTAAGTTGTTTGAATAATTCGAAAATATATCCGATAATGATGGACTGCGAAGCTATTTCGGCCAAACCGAATCGGTTTCACCTTAGAAGACCAGCCGAAGGTCGGAACTATTTGAAATTACTTCTTTAGTAAATAATGTAAGGCAGCCGGGTTGGGAAACATGCAATCTTCTCACGATCTTTGCCAATCTTCGTTTTTTTTAATAAGAAATAGCTTTAAGTTAATTAGTGATTTTATGAGTAATTCAAGAGGAAAAAATGGCCACTTAAAATTCCACAGATTCTGTCTCTCAATTGGACCAAACAAGGAAGGATATCGCATTGAAAAAACTAGAAAAATCTGCCATATCCAGCAATTAATAGGCAATTTTAGCGCAATTTTATTGTTAATAACTGTGCCCAGCTACTCAAAAGCCTTCACCTTTCCGATCTCGTAAAGATAGTTGCAAGAAAACTGAAAACGCAGTAATAGTTTTAACATTTATATTCGGCGAATTTATCATCGTGATGCTTCGCGTCCATTCATCAGCGTTTCGTAATGTTAAACAGCAGGACAATGTGTCCAAGACCGGTGATATTTTTTTTGCAAAACAATGCTCATGGCCGGCATGCTTTCGCACACAATTTAATGTGGTTAGAAGCTTTTATGAAATGCGATTGGTCTTGAATGGCTAATGGTGATTTTTGCGAAGCAGTTAAAGAATCAAAAAATTTCAGTTATTATCAAAAATGTTATTGAAAAACACTTAAAGAGCAAATTAATTGAATATATTGACCGATTTTCAGCCGCTTTAAAGCGGTCTTAAACTTTTGACTTTCGTTGGAAAATCTCAGTTTGAACGATTTACACTGCTTGAATAAAATAATACAGAATGTTCATCGCAAGAAATGTTATGAAAAACACTATAAGTTCTTCAGAGCCGAACCAACCGAGTATTTCATTTTATCCTGTCGAAAGCAGTAACTGTTTCATGATTCCAAAAATAATTGGTTCGTAAAAGCCACGAAAAATTATCCCTATATTTGAATTTCTGGACGCTGAAAAATCTTTATTTGTATTTTTTTTGAGTCTTATATTTAACCTACAGTATATTTCTTATTACAGACGCAAACGCCTTATGTGTGCATACTGGAGAACTTTTTTGGTCGGAAACAATTAATTGAGCTCAAAAAACACGCATGTGGAATTTCGATTTTTGATCAAAAATTTCATAAATTCTGCAAAGTTTTTTCACAAAAGATCGAGAAATTCAGAGCGCTCAATGGAAAACACGTCAGAACATTTATATGCGAAAAAAGCGACATTTTTGGTTCAATTTGAGGCGTTTTTAACTGACAAAATATTCCTTCATTTACACTCAAACACATTAAATATGCACATCGAGCAGCTTGTTCGGTCGGAAGCAAAAGATTGACCTCAAAAAAAAACACACTCCATTTTTGAAGTTTTTTTCGCAAAGAGGCGAAGAATGCGACCAATTTGTTGCATAACCATTTACCCTGCAGATTCGAAATAAACACTCTTCAAAGTAAAAAACACACGAAAACATTATGATGGATTAAAGCTAATCCATTCCAAGAACCTGTCGGTTAAAAAATGGTAAATACCCGCAGGTAGAAAGCTGATTGATTTGGCAGTGCTTAATTCCATTGGCTCTGACATGTTAAGCTGAAGACACCTGCTGAGGGCAGTCACAGCTTAATATGAACAAGATTAAGCACAAGCAATATGAAGCCAAATTAAAGCTCCACAATGGGTCTTTAAGCTTAAACAGGTCGATGATTGAAACATACGCGGTTAGTTAGGGGGGTCGTGATTTTCAAATATCAAATAAGGAAAATTTATCAAGATTAAGAAGAACTTTTATTGCGCGACTAGTCGGCATACGATCGTTGTTGCATAGGCAAAAGTTCATCATCAAGCACTCTTACGTATTCCATGGTTCGAACATCCCATGGAACCATCTTGGAATCCGTCAGGCTAAAAAGGTCAATGAAAATGAACGTGAGAACGTGCTTGGGGATCACATTGAATATCGCTGAAGATCTGTTAGCAAGCAATTTAAATACGGTTCTCACATGCTAGTTCTTCAATGCTAAAAATTGCTAACAAACCCCCAAAAAATATTTATTTAATAAGCATTAGTTGGGCGAAATAGTAAAAGTTGTTTTGCAAGCGCACATTCGAGTGTGGAATTGAAAAGTGACACTCCTTGGGATCGTCGGCTACTGAAAGTGCTCGAATTTCTATCCGCAATTATTTGGTTGTGAATCTTCTTGCAATATCAAGGCTTTGGTTCTTCGACCTTTGCCTTTTTGCGGCTTTAATCATCAGACGGAAATAGATTCCCAATATTTGCATACTGTTTGCTTGCATATTCCTGGTCGTTTGCTATTCTTGGCTTTGCAAACGAGGTGACAACATTCTATTCTTTTTGAACTACGAACATTAATGTTCCGCGTACACAAAGCAAATTATTTTGCTCACGAAGCATTTTTTTCTAGTAAACAAAACATGGAAGCATGTTTTGAATAGTAAAATATCAAAAGTTTATTCATTTGCAATCGCTCAGTCCATTATTCTCTGCTCTGACCCCCTGCGTCAAAGTGACTACTGAGTTGGTCCACTACATTTTATATACGAGGGGGACTTAAATTAATAAAGCGCCACCTCTGGCCAGACCTTATGTTGTGACCAATTTGTATATACTTTCCTGACTGTGTTTCAATTCCAAATAAATTCTATTCCTGGGTTTCAGTCATTTATTGTCTCTATTTATTAATCAAAATACTGATGATGGTGGAAAAATACACCGAAACGTATTTTGATTAATAAATAAAGACAATAAATGACTGAAACCCAGGAATAGATTTTATTTGGAGTTGTGACCAATCCAAGAAGTGTGCTTCATGTAAAGCACGCAGGAATTTATTGTTTTTTCTAAAACAACGTTTAATGGTTGTTAGCTAGTTTTTGAATGAAATAATGCTGCTTCGAATTTTCAGTCCTTGGTTTTTCGCCTGTAAACGACATTAATGTGCCACAGAAAACCTCTAGAGTCTAAATAAATAAATCACAGTAAATGACTTTGTAGGAGCAGGCTTTTTCAAACATACAAAATCAGGAAGAACGGAGTTATTAATAAAATTCAATCTATTTGATGCAAAACGCACAGCAATTTTACTAGAATTTCAGTGAAGTTGCACTGAATCCCTGAAACAATTTTTAATTGTTTTTAGGTAGTTTGTAAGGAAAGGAAGCCACTTTGAAACGTTAGTCTTTGGTTTTTCATTTGCAAACGACGTTAAAAAGGATGCATCAAAAAGGGTCTAAAAAATTGCTGTTGAGCTCAATAGTAAAGGATTTGTTGGGGCAAGTTTTCCAAATATGCAAAATCAGGAAGAAATTGATTTATTCATCAAATGCAAACAATCAGTTGATTATACACTGATCATCTGGTCCACTACATCTCACATACGAGGGCAAACTATATTTAACGAGCTGCCGCCTATTCAGGAACTTTTCCTTGTGTAAAAATGACAAGAATTTCATTGTTTTTAGTGATATTTAAAATCAAATCATCATTTTCCCAGCTGTGAGTGATGAGAGAATACTTCAAATCTTCAGTCCTTGGTTTGACGCCTGTAAACTACATAAAAAACCTGTAAAGTGTGGAACCCACTTATTAACCTTCTGCCAAATTAAAAGATGAACGAAAATCGTCCTGCTGTTCAAGTTCCTGCTAGGGTTTTCGAGCGCAAACCAAAACCGTCTGAAAAAAGTGTATCCTTCTCGAGTCGTGACCGATTCGAAGCAGAAGAAGATCCTTGCGACCCCCTACTCGGGCACCAGGAGGACGCGGTCGATTTCCTTTCACTACCATCTTCACGGGATGCATCTTCAACATTAGTCTTCGTTCTTCACCAGTCGATGACGAACCGAAATGCAGTCCGTTACTGTTTTGTTGCTTCTAGGTGAGTAGCAGTGGCCCCGGTTTTTCCTACCCTTAATGTGAAGATTGTCTGTGTTTCTTCAGTGTTTTGCTCAGTGATTTTTGGACTGCATTTTCCAGGTTTTACTTGACTTTTTTCACAATTAAAAAAAAAGTGTCACTAAGGGTTTGGAATTTTTTAATTGATTTAAACGTATTTCAAAGATTTAAATTTCTGTGTGTTTTAAATAGGGGACAGTTGGAAAATGGTCTTACAAGGAAAAATACAAATATATTTCTGTGCACTGTGTGATTTTTTCTTGAAAATGCAGGCCATTAAAGTGAGGCAATCGTATTGTTTCGAGCCCAGGAACCGGAAAATTTTCCAAAATTGCCCGATTCACTTCAGTTGCCTTAAAGAATCCATCATAAGTCAGTAAATGTTTATTTTTTTAATATTTTGTGGCGCGACAAAAGGGCAATTTTCAGTAGCAAACGAAAAGTGAGAATTTTCAAATTTGAGCGATTTTCCATTTGCAATATTCTAAAAACTTCAATTGTCTTTTCTTTGGCTCTTCACCTATAATTACAAAACACAAATGGCCTAACCTTTGCCTGTTGCTTTGGTTTGCAAATTAATTAACTTTATTGATTATTGCCACATTTCCAATCAAATCCTGGGGAATTCGCCCATAAAATCGTACGTTCTCGCCTCTAAAACCTGCTAATCGTGCGAGAATCTGCAGATGGACCGTGATGTAATGGAATGAAGAAATAGTGACACCGATGGAGTGTGGAATAATTCGCATTATGCAATCGAGAAATCATCCTTTAGAGATGACGCAGTTTGGAATGCGATAGCATCTGCTAAAGATGATTTTATGTTAATTGAATTCAATTAATTTGCCAATGGGAAGCTGTGCGGATTATGCATGAATACTCACTTGAGTCTTTCTCAAAAAAGTCACTTCTAGCTAACTCGCCGCGCAATTATCAATGGCATTAACTGAGCAAAGCCAGTTGAGAAATTGTGCATTATCGTAATAATTAATTTAATTAAACTTGCGTAACGTTAGCAGTAAGCTGATCCTAATTAAGAACCATTATCTGTATAATACGTTTGACCATGGAAGAACCTGGCCGGTTGAACAAAGAACCTGAAACAATACCAGTTGCTTTGTACTTAGAGCCAGGTACAATTTAGGATCGTTAGCACGATGTCTTTGATATGATTATCAATTATGATTAATTAATAGGGATTCTGGCAAGATGGTCTTGCGAAGGAGTTTTCCTGAACCATGAGCCTTTCCCCACGTACAGCTTGGAGGACATGCCAGAGACCCAGTTTAGCTGCAGGGAGAAAATCTTGGGCGGTTATTATGCGGACCCGGATGCCCAATGCCAGATGTTCCATGTTTGCGTTAAAGTCGCAGGAATCGGGGTAAATTGACCAGATTTTTCCATTACAGAGCAGGTTACCATACTTGATTGTTCCAGGTGCAAGATTTCCGCTTCCTTTGTCCAAATGGAACGGCTTTCGATCAGGATCATCAGATTTGCGCTGATTGGGAGGATGTAGATTGTGATGCCACCACCTTATACTATTCCAGTGACAACTTTGATTTGTATCGCGTTGGATCAGGTAATGCATTTGATTTATTTTCTACGTCTTGTTTTAAATCACTTTTTGTTGAATCTCGATTTTTGGTTTTAGAAATATTTGCTTAATTGTTAGATTCATTATCTCGTTCACAAAAGCTCTGATTTTATTGCTCAACTTATCTTCATAAGACACTTTTTTTTAAGTCGTTCTATCCTGAAGTTTGCGGGCTTCGCAAATGTTAGTTTAAAAATGAACATTTTCACCCAACTGTGTTTTAAAGTTTTTTCACTTCTTTTCGAGGGAGCGCAAATTTCGAAACTTTAAGAATCCACAGAATGGACTTCAACTACAATAAATTTTCAATTCATGGAAGTATTTTCAATTTTGAGTCAATAAAAGCTTGAATTTCTCACAGTTTGCAGCAGCCCCTCGAATCTTGAAACTATTAAAATTTTGTTTGAATCAAACTAATTTTGGGCTTTTTGCGGACTGAGTCTTGATCGAAAAATGAACTTCTCCATCAAAGTGCACGCTGGGTTTGAATAGTTCATAACTTCTATTCCAAGGCAGTTACAAGCTTACACCGTAGACAAAAAAGTCTTGGACCTGCAAGCTCTCAAAATTTTCCTCAAATTGTACACAATTCTGATTTTTAAGTTGATTTTGAAATTAACAAATTATTTTCAAAATGTGCGTTTCCACCTACTCTACTTGCGGAAAATCTATATCTTATAATCTGGAACCACTAGCAACTTTAAGCTTTCATAACATGTTGACTTTATAAAAATTTTGCTTAGACCGCCAGAAAGAGTCGGCTCAGAAATGGGCGTTTCTACCCACGAGCACTCTTCCGTTGAAAAATTTGTAACTCCTAATCCAAATTAAACAGAAACTTGAAACGCTCATGGCTGACAGAAAATTTGCACTAGAATCCGGAAACTCTGAAATTTTAATATAAATCATATCACATTTTGATTTTTGCGAGCTTGGTAAATATTGGTCGAAAAATGCGTATTTTCACCCAAGTGCAGCCTATGTTTAAAATATTACTATCTTCTAACGTAGCGCAGGCAGCAACTTGAGCCTTGCAGAAAATACAAGGAAATAGTTAAGTCTCAACATGCTGCAATACTTATTGAAACGGTCCAAATTCTAATTTTCTCGGACTTAGTTAATATTGATCTAAAAATCGCGTTTTCAACCAATTTTACATAATGTTTCAAAAATTTCTAACTTATGATCTACAGTAGGCAGAAACTCGAATCTTTCACAGTCCATGGCAAATACTCGAATCTCAAAACCCTGAAAGCTTGATGTAATTCACAGCAATTCCTGATTTTCACGGATTTGGAAAATGTTACTGTAAAAATGCGCATTTTGGGTGCACTCTATATTTGAAACATTCGTAACTTCTAACTAAGGACAAGTAGCGACTTGAACATTCCAAAAATTATACGAAATATATAAATCTGAATGCATGGCCAAATTTACTCAAATTGTTGGAAATCCTGATTTTTGCGTAAATGGGTTAATGTTGGCCTAAAAATACGCGTTTTTAACAAAGTGTAATGTTTTTAAAATTGGCAACTTCTGATCGGTCGGTGGAAAGCACTTGGAGCTTCAAATTCTGAAAATCTCATACAAATCACACAAAATTTGAATTTTTTGCAAATTCGGAAAATGTTGGCCTGAAATATGAGTTTTCACGCAGTTCGTACTTTCCTAATTAAAATAACTTTGATAAAATCGAAGTAAAAGGTCGGAACGCCAGTTCAAAACTTGCTCAATTTGTTAAAAATTTCGACTTTTGGATTAAATTTTGGAAACTTTCTGAAAGCAATAAGACTTATTGAAAGTGAAACTTGACTGACATGAAAATTGGAATATGCAACTTTAATTCGTTGCATTTTAAGGCAAAAAGTAAAATTTTTGAGTCGTCAAAAATTTGATTGCAAAGCGATTGGTTAAATTAATTTCAATCAAACCTTCCAGTTTAAAACCATTATGTTTTGTGTTGAATTTTCAAAAACCTATTTAACTTCGTTTCATCAATTTGCTTGAAATAGTCGTTATCTCCATTAAATCTACTCAAAAAATAAGCTAAGTCTTCACTTTCGTTGGAAATCTTCCGTGTAATCACATGCACTGAAATAATGGATTAAGTAAGTCAGATTATCTAGCCAGCAGTGTAAGATGACCTTAATAAACGATCGTTTTGCGCACTAACGTAACACCATAGAAACCGGGTCTTCTTCGAAGAATGAAGAAAAACGTGGGAACTAACGTATTTCGCGCAATGCGGTTGCATCATATGCAAAGCACCAGAAACGAATGCAAATGCACTTTTGCACACAAAAAATTATTTGATTGTTATTCATTCGAAGTTAGCAGCTGCGTTGTTGTGGAGTTTTTGACTGATTTTTATTCCTTCTTAAGTTTCCGTTCACATCTACTTCTTCTACTGCATTCAAATTGGCTTATTTGTCAAATAATTCACTTATAACTAACTGAACGATGATCGACATCATTAGGAGACTCCATATTTGGATGAAAAGCATTAATAAAGCTCGGTGATTAATGACTTCTGACCTGCCCATTCCTTTTCTATTTTGAAAGTGATTAAGGAGCGTTATTTCACCGGAATTTGCCAAATGTCTTCGTTTTCCAAGCCAGGTAATTGCAAAAAAGGTATCTCTATTATAGTGGTTTTGAGCAATCAAGCAAAATTTCCAAAAAGTACACAAAATTAAGCAAACATCCATTAAACCGTCTAATTGCTAGAATCCACATTCGATTGTACACACCTGTATGCTATGCGCGATTATGTGATCAACTCATTAACATTTTCCCGTACGATTATCTTGCAATTTTTCATAAACCAAGTAGTACCGTAAGAACGCGACCTTTAACATCCCACGGCTTTCACTTTTTCATCGCCGATCTCACATTATGCGGGATCATCATCAACCATATCTCACCGCCATGGTCGTCCCATGTAACACACTTGTTTCCTGTTTTTCTATTATTCACTGTATTAATGGCTATCAGTGAGGTTGCTACTTGTTTAATTTTTCAGCTGGGATTAAATTAATTAACGTCACGTTCGGGGAAATAAACATGGAAAATGTGACTACAGAAGCCAGAAATACAGTATAATACAGGATGCAAAGAGACAAACATCGTGTTTTGGAAAGGGGTGTTCTATCCCGAGTGCATTCTATGTTTAAAAAAATCCTAATTTTTTGTCGAACGCAGGCAGTCAGCTGAAGCTAGCAATTTATATAGACGATGGTTGAGTCTAAGTTTGCTGGACATTTTATTCAAATCGTTTAAAATTCTGATTTTTGCGGCCTTGGTGAATGGTGATCAAAAAAGGAAAGTTTTCCCCCCAATGCAGTCAATGCTTGTAAAATGCCCAACCTCTAATCTACTATCAGTAACTGCTTGATAATGTCGCAGTCGACAGGAAGCATTTGCATCTATGTAGAAAGAGTGATATTTTCATTTAAATCGCACTAAGTACTGACTTTTTCTGGCTTGAAAAGTTGGTGTGAAATAGGCGTTTCCCCCCAAGTGCCTGTTATGTTTCAAAAATTCGTAAAGCCTCATTTAGCCTTAGCTAAAAACTTAAAACTCTCACAACCTACAGACAGGACGTGAATCTGCGAATTGTAAAAATTGTATTCAATTCACTCTTAATTCTGATTTTTGCGGTAAATAACTTGGTAAATATGGGTTTGAAAATGGGCGTCTTTCGCCAAGTGCACTTTACGTTTGAAAAATTCCCAACTTTTTATCGGCTACTGAAAGAAAGTTTAAATTTTCGCCATCAATACAGGGTATTTCGGTCAGAATTTGATAGATAGATAGATAGATGCACGCCATCTTTGAAAAATTCATATCTTCTGATTTACTACTGGAAGAAAACTGAAACTTTGGCAGTTTACAGAACACTCGTGAATCTGCCGATTTTGAAAATTATATTACTATAACATTAAATCTTAATTTTTGCGGTGTTAATAAAAATTTGTTTAAAAATGGGTGTTTTATCCCAGAGCCACTGTACGCTTGAAAATTTTCCAACCTCTGATTTGCAACCGGGAGAAACTTAGAATTTTTGCTCATGACAAGAAATATTTTAGTCTCAAAGTTGCGAAGCTTTGATTCGCATCTCGCTAAATTCTGATTTCTATGGGCGTAGTCAATTTAGGCCCAAAATGAACATTTTGCCCCAGATACATTTCATGTTTGAAAAATTAATCCTTTCTAATTTACATCCGCTAAAAAACTGAAACTTTGGCAGTTCACAGAAAATGCCTGAAGCGGCAAACTCTGAAAATTTTCTACAAATCCCCCAAAATTCTGAATTTTTTAGGGATGGTAAAAGTTGGTAGAAAAATGAGCGGTTGTACTCAAGCGCTCTGTGCGTAAAAAATGTATAATTTTTTATGTGCTGCCAGCAGAAACTTTAAATTTTGGCAACTTATAGAGAACACTTGAGTTTTTAAGTTGTGAAGACTTCATTAAAACCGCAATACCGAATACCATTCGTTAACAAACAATTTAGACTTTTTGCAATTATTTCGTGAGGATAAATAGAAACAAAAACGTTGAGGTTTTAGTTAGGGGACGTAAATAAAAAATAATAAGGAAACCACTTGCAAAATGACTAAACATAAGTCGAACGTGAAAAAACCTACATAAAATTTCCCTGCCATTCTTCTTACATCAGCACTATTTCATATTCGAACTCATTGTTCTTTTACTGTGAACCACTCAAAACGTGTAATTAAATGACTGCACTAACATGCTTTCGCTTGGGTTTTCACATGGTTTTTCTTTGTTGCAGGATTCGAGAGCAAAGCACACAAATACGGCGAAGATGAAGAAACGTTCGCTCTTCAAAGGGCCGAGACTGGAGATGCGCGCATTAACCGGGAGCCTCAAAGTCAAGTGGTGAACCAGCAGAAGGACTATCAAAGGCCACAGGCTAGGAGGCCTTTGAACAACAATAATAATAATAATGCTGAGAAGGATATCTTCAGGACGTCCAGTTCGTCTAACTTCTTCAATAACCGCAACAATGGCAAAGAGACTGATGAAGACTACGATGATAACGTCAATGTAAACCAGGACAGGGACTTTGAGCAGAAGAGGAAGATAGTTAGGAAGCAGCAACGCAGGCCCGTGCAGCAGCAAACAACCAAGCAGCCAGAGCAGGAGCAGCAGCAGCTCCAGACTCGTCGCCCCCAAAGACCTACAGGGTTTGCGAACAACTTTGCTGGAAGCAGTTATAATCCGACCACGCAGCGTGCGACTTCTACTCCTAACAATGAGCAGAGCTCAGCTACATTTAGATCCAGACAGAGGCAACGAGTCAGCAACCAGACTCCAAGTTACACCGTCAGCACTCCAGCTCCATTCAGATCCAGCGCCAACCACCAATTCTCCACTAGCTCAACTGAGAACTATCCCCAGCCTAGAGCTACAAATGCCCCAGTGAGCTTCAACACCAACTACGATGTCCCAAGGGTTCCCAAGCAGCAGACCCAGAACTATCCTTCATCTAGCGCTACTTTCGATGCTAATTACGATGTTCCTAAAGTCGCCAAGCAGGAAAATTATGCTTCCCGATCCACTAGTGCTCCGGTGAGCTTCAACAGCCCGAAAGCCACAAAGCAGCAAACTGAGAACTACCCTTCGAACAATCCTCAATACTCCAGAACAACCACTCCGTTAGCCAACTCTCAATATAGCACAGCTTTCGATAAGAAGTCCACCAGTCCTAAGAAGGCGGAGACATACAAACCCACAACATTTTCGCCCAAAGCCAAGCCTTTTAGTGTGCCTGCTACCAACACTGGCTTCCCTACAACTTTCGCGCCTAGAACCCAGCAAGCCTACACTCAGATCGCCCAGCAGACGCAGAAAGCCTCCAGCAATTTCGCTCAGCAGCAGTTCAGCAACCCCAGCACCACTCAAAGATCCACAACGTTCACCCCATACACTCCCACTGTTCCCAAGATCTCCTCCACCACTGCTGTGCCCAGATCGAACCGATATGACGAGACTCAGTACGATGATGGTTCGTATGATGCAAAGTACGACAACAGTGGGGCAAATGAGGAAGAATTCCTGAAGACTGCACATAGCCAGAATATTGCAAGCAGCAGGAACGAGTTGGCCAGAGCTCAGAAGCAGCAGCCTACCACTACCACTCAGAAACCCTATGAGCCGTCCAGGACCTACAGCACTCAGAGGGAGACTCAGAACTATCCCAAATCGACCCAGCCAGCTTCGACGAGAAGCACCCAAGTCACTCAAAGGCCAGTGCAGCAGGCGAAGCCTCAACCCAGCCCGAAGAAGGTGAAGGATGTGAGCTACGATTATGCCTACTATGATAGTCTTGGTCCTGAGCCGGACTATCAGATAGACACGGAGATCAAGAAGTCGTCGAAAAACTAAGTTAGCCAACTAAGTTATTTATAGTCTGTTTTATTGATTAAGTATTATGTAAAATTAAATGAGACACAGTGTTAGAAGGTGAGAAAGTAAATGATGATTTTAAGATGTAAGGTTGTACATATTTTTTTGAGGAATAAAATGCTGTTTTTTATTGACTCGCTTTTTCTACTTCTATTTATCTCTTTACATTATTTGGATGATTCCTTCGCCATATAGTAGTTCGTTCTACTTGAGAACTATTTCCAAAATTGAGCTCTGAGTTTTTTGCACGGCTTGGATTTATTTAATATACTGTTTAGCAGTTGGAGGATTGGATTTTGCTTCTTTTTCAAGCTTTTCCACATGTTTTCCTATTCTTCCTCAGTGTTGTTGATTTATTTTACTTGCATTTCATTTACCAACAACAGATCGATCGTCTCCCTACCTAAAGTCATTTTTTCGTGGCTAAACCAACAGATTGGCCTCCATGCTAGCCAGATTTGAATCATTGAGAGTATGCAGAACACTTCAAATATTTAAGTCAAACGGGAATTAACAGCGACACTGGCAGGGAAAAGAAGGAGAAGAGTTATAACAAAGTTTCTTTATTAAATATATTAAACTATGAGTATTTGATAACAATTTTACAAAAGTTAAAAGCATTGCTTAGCAGGCTAGTCTAGTCGTTCTGGTAAAAAATAGTAGAAAATCGATTTATACAAAAACACAAAAGAGGGTTAAAGAATCAAATAGTTCATTCACTTTCAGACAGAATCTGCACTGGGCCTGTGCACAACCAGACGTTTCCCTATTTACACACACCTAGCCGGCTTCACCTTGGTGCAGATCACTCTGTCCTCATCAAAGAAAGTCTTTTGATCACATACGTATTTCAAGTCTAATAGTTGGTTCTTGCTGTAGCCGTTGGTGCAGTAGTGGAACAGCCTACAGTCGCGAGGATCGGCGTAGAATCGGTTCGTCTCCTTTCCGAAGCAATTAAACACATATCGACTGCTCACTTTGGGAGGTCGGGGACTTTTGGAAGAAAGCGGAGTGGTGTGGAGAAGAACCTTCTTCAGTGCGCGAGGTTTAGTAGGGGAGACGCTCCGATGAAGAGGTGCAACAGTAAAGCTGGGGTTTTTACTCAAGAGCTCAGTGTTGAATCGGTGCCTTCCATACTCTGTTTTCGAGTGGGAGTGAGGCCTTCTGTGTAAAGGTCGAGATTTTTGCGTGAAATGCTCCCCACTTGTAGTGGTGCTGGGCTGTTCTGAGCTGCTTTCCAACACCACTTGGTACAAGTGACTAGAATTTACTGCCCTGGGATTATCCAAGGATTGGTCGGTTTTGACGAAGATTATTTCAGTGGAATTGTCATGAACTTGCCTCATTGGGGGGTCAGAGGGCGGATACTCAGTAGGATCAGGCAAAACTTCGGTTGTAACAGCAAAAGGCAATGTAGTTGTTGATGAAGGCCATTCAGAAGGAATACTGGTAGAAGTTGAAGTTTCCTCGTTGGAAAACAGACCGTTGATGCTGTGGGCATCATTTATGGGGTAGGGAACATCCAGAACCGATACAGGCAGGGATATGGACTTTTGGATTTCCACATCAGGCAGGAGGGTGGTTGCGAGTTCGCCTAAATCCAAATACATTTTAGTCGTTGCTTCATCTGGGTTTAGTTCTGAGCTGATTCCTTCAGTTGCAGCAGCTTCTGTAGTACTTTCAGTCAACTTCAACTCCTCTTGGGGCTCAGAAGAGTTTCTGGTGGTTGATTCTGGAACCACAAAAACATCATCATAGTAGTTCTTTGCATCAATATGGAACTGAGCTAATTCCTGGAAAACTGTGCTTGTTTCCGGCATTTCCGTGCTGGGCGTTTCTTCAGAGATCACCACAGGAGCCCCAATTGTTGTCGGTAAATCTCCCTCAATCAAATGCTTTTCAATAGCCGAAAGCTTGTCCAGCAAGTCAGCTTTGGATTTGCTTTCGGATTCATTTTTGCTGCTAATCAAGGGCGAATTTTTCCTGGAAATGTCTCTGAGCGTGGGCAATTGAGTCGTGCTAACCTTTGAAGAATGCCGATGGCGACTTCTTCGCCTTTCAGGCTTGGGAGTGACGAAAGATGGCAAGCTACTCATCAGAGTCTCCGTTAGAGGATCATACGAAGTGGGGGCCTCAGTAGTAAAGGGGGCGTAAATGGCAGAATCATCGCTCTGAGCAAAATGTTTCAGCAGCTCTATCAGATAAGACGCCGTCGGAGCTGGAGGGTTCAATTCCGAAACTGCCTCCCGTGCATTTTCCTCTGTAGTGCTCAAAGGATCTGTGGAGGAGTCAGTGGTGATGGTATTAGAGAAGGGAATAAAATCAGTGGCCTCCTGCGTTGAGCTGGGAGTTACAAAAGTTGCGGCCTCAGTAACGACGGTTGCCTCGCGCTCTTGGAGTATGGGATTTGTAGCTTCCGGAAGCGGAGCCTCAGTGGTGGAGTTTTCAACCGCAGAAGCAACGGTTGTTTCCTCCATGCGAAGTGCGGATGTTTCCTCAAAATGGATCAACCAGCTGCTGGTTGAAACTGCTGGGGAAAGCTCAGTGGTTGATGTGCTGGTAGCAAAGCGAGACCGTCCTCTATTCCTCCCTCTTCGGGCAGACGGTTTATTTGGAGGAGTTGAAATGTAGTTTTGCGCCTCTCTTTGAGCAGAGGAGTTGGGGACATTGTAGCTAGCAGCTTGGTAGCTATCGAGTTGTTTTTGTTTGATTCCTCCTCTCCTTCTGCCTCCTTGACGTCTTGGAGGTGAAACACTGGTGGAGGATGTTGCTTTATTTGGCTCAGCCTCTCGAGTTTCTGAAAGCACGTTGATCTCTGTGTGTTTGGTCACTTTTCCACTGGTTTCCGTGACATTCTGGTGTTCTTTTGGTGATGTTGAACTGGTTTCTGGGGTCAGTTGCAGGTATTTGTACAGAAGGTCTGCAGAACTCCGATCTGTAAAGTGCCTGGTTTGATCAGTTGAGGTTTCTTCAGTGTCTGCAAATCCCGCTGGGAAAGGAGCTGTTGTTTCAGGGGCGTCCCCTACTTCTTCCCTACCAGGTTCCTTGGTTGCTTCGAATTCACGCTCAGGATTGGTGTGGTTTGGAGTGTTTTTTACCAGTTGGGGTAGGTTGAGGTCTAAAGGTTTGTCTTTTTTGGGCTGGACTTCCTGACTGTTCGCACTTTGCCTGTAAGTCACGCCTTCGTAGTTATCATCCACGTAATCGTGCGTGCTAAACGGCAGCTCTTTGAAGTCTTTGACGATGATATCGGAGTTCCGGGTTTTGTCGCCAACGTCCATTCTTTCTGCCAGTTTCTTGTGGTTTTCCCCATTGAAAACTGGTTCGTTTCTGTATCCGCCTACTAAGCTGAACCTGCCTCCTTTCTTGAAAAGTTCTCCGTAGTGGGGTTTCATGGACTCTGTACTTGTGGCTTCTTTGGAGCTGGTTGAGTGAATCTCACTGCTCTCTGGGTTGAGACCGATTTCTTCTATTCGGGGCGCCAGTTCGTTGTTGATTGTCTGGATCAGGTCGGAAGAAACCGGGCTGGTTGGAGGAGGAACAGTGGCTGTCGCCTGATGGCTCTGATACCAGGTGTAGAGAAACTTGAGCACCTCGACAGCCTCCTTTTCGTTTTTGATTATTTCGAACGGATTGATTGGATTCTCGTCAGTGCTGCGCTTCCTTCGCTTTCTTTCCTGTATTTTGGGCACGTCGTGATAGAAAGGATCCAGCCCCACGTCGCCGTCCTTGTATTCGTCGTAGGACGAAGGGGGCGTGTCCAGAATCTGCGCCGCCCCGATTGTGCCAAGCGAGTAGTTCAGCCTCCTCCCGCTGGCATCGCTCACGCTGGCGCTGGCGCTGATTATGATCCTGGGAGGCGATTGGTGCTCCTTTGTGTATCTCTTGCTGTCGATGTGATGCTGGAGAGTGAAAGGAGCTGGGGAGCTAAAGGTAAGAGGTGGCAGGGTTGGTAGGAGGGGAATGGGGATTTGCACTCGCTGTGGGGTTTTTTCCGTCCTGGGATGGTGGGTGTAGTGGTGATGCTGGTGAACCTGGGGAGGCTTTAGTGAGTGCAAATAAATCGTGCGACTGGTGGTCTGCCTGGGGAAGTTTCCCGAATGCTTCACCGTGGTCGAGTGGAACTGTGGATGATGATACTGATGGGAGTTGGGCGGAAAGCTCTGACTGTGCCGGAAGCTGTTGGTTTGGATTAAAAACTGCGGCTGTCGCTCAGTGCTTCGGAAGTTCTCTTCGAGGTAATCACTATTCTGAGGTAACTTATCACTATCACTATCTATGGCGTAAATGGATTTAGGAGATGTGGAGGCGCTTAGGCGCTCGCGTTCGTGTTCATCGCCGTGACTCACTTCACTACTATCGTCACTAAAACCTTGCGGAAGTTGGAAATGTTTCGTCCGTATATCCGGAGGAGCTCCGGGGTTTAAACTGATATTAATCTCTTCCGGGTTGAAGCGGATATCCGGGGCGTTCACCGGAAAATGATGGCCGGAAACTGCTTGGGGACTGTTGGAAGCAGCCGTAGCCGCCACTGGTCTGGCAGTGGTGAAATATTGCGAAGTTGTCGGGTTTTTCGTTGTGGTTGTGGTCGATGTGGTGGTCGATTTCGTCGGAGCTTCAGTCTCTTGGGAAACTTCGGGGATATCTGGAAAGCCCAAAGCAGTTAATCAATTCGCCTGGAATATCCGGGAAAATACCTTCGGAATTTTGCCCAGAATGTTGATACAGTTCCAAGTTCAGGCTGTAGAATTGTTCGGATTTTGAGCAGTCCACCTCGTCAATCCGTTCACAGACGCGAGTTTCCTATCGGAAAATTGGATAGTTTTTAGGGTGAAAAGCCGGGGGTTTCAAAGTGCCTCACCTGGTCGAAAACGGTGCCGTTCAAGCACAGAAACCGAATGTCCATGTTTTCTCCAGCTTGTCCTTTAGTGCAAACGTGAAACATCTGACAATTGGTCTCCACATCCGCATAATATCCACCGATCACTTTGCCGTGACATGAGAAGTTCGTGTCCGGTAAATTGTCGAAATCCAGAAACTAAAGCAGAAAAAATATCCAATTATTATTTGAATAGTCAATGGTGGGGAAATCGCCCAATTTTTCTTCAAACTGCGACATGAATTGATTCAATTTCCGTGCGGTGAAGAAAAATCGCCATCCTTGCTTTTTACGTTTATAGAAGCGAAGAAACTTAATTAAGGAAATGCCAGCGCCTTTAATTGAATGATTCATTAAAGAGTGTGACAACATATTGACGAGGATATGTAGGTATGGCATAAAACCCACCTTATGGAATATGCTTAATTTGTCTATTTATGGTCAGCTCAAGTGAGGAAAATGGACTCTGCATACTGCAATTTGCTATGCAGCTGTTTATGCAAAAATTAGCTACGCAATGAAATTAATAATTTCACTTTTTCCCGTTCTAGGCCAGATCCATAAGGAAGTTTCTTCATTTCCACTGTGGGTTTCTGGCTAGATTTCCTCATCCTTTTCTAGTAGATATAACAGCAAATAAAACCATGTTCTGGCCAAAAATCGCACTTTTTGACTTGTTTTTTTAAATTTAATTCGTATCGATTTTTCAACAGTTTCGGAATATTTCAGCTGCTTATGGGATGGTTGAACTTGGATAGTCAATCAAATGCAAAACCCACTCCCTTTGAATACCGAAAGCCTGAATAATACACTTTGATTTGAATTCATACCGACTGGATTGTACATTCGCTCTTATAAGGTCAATTGCATGTATTTATCAATGGCTCTTTTGTCATAAGACAATTTTATCCTTACCATCATTGAAAAATCAGTTTCGGAATCAATTATTGAATTCCACTGGGGTTAAATGAATGTCGAGCCTGGAATTAATTGAGTAAGTTTTCGACTATTAATAACTCTGATTCAATTCAGTTTGATTTACAATTAACCGTTTTACAGACAGTTAAGAAGAATATGGATTTCCTTACATTTTAAATTTTGCTTGGTTTCCTTTCATGTAATTTTTTTAATATATTGAGCTCAAGCAGGTGCGTGCTTTTCCTACCTACACGAAGTGTGCCTCATTATTAGAATAGCGCCCTCAAAGTGGATTTTTATGAACTTTTGCGATAAAACAACCTGAACCCTCCTCTATTAAAATGGCTGAGAAACTTGCCTCTATCTTGGCTAGCTTTTGCGTAATTAATTTAGAAACTTTCCTTCCAACTTTCTGAAGTCGCATCGCAATTTCAAATGAGGTGACTGAAAATTGCTCAAAAATCGCCCTCAACCGTCACTGTTGTATACTTTTCTTTAACATTGATTCAATTTTGCTCCATTCAAAAACTAAAAAGACTTTGCTCTAATTTGACATTTTTTTTGAGTAAATAATTTCCAAACAACGGCTTGTAGTCGAGAAGCAATTGCAAAAAATTAGTTAAAATTTTCTCCAAATTTTTCCTCAAATGACATTGTTTCATTATTTTTAGTAAAAATCGCCCCAAATCTTATATTTATTAAACTTGGAGGTCTGGCTGCGCCTTGTTTCATTTTTGAGCAATTTATCTGTAAATAACTGGCTGCAGGTAAAATGCAACTTCCAAACACATGATTAAAATATCGCCAAAAATCGTCTTCAAACGCCCATGTTATGAACTTTTCTTTAAATTAAAATTTAAATGAAAAACGCTCCTCTTCTTTGACAGAGCAATTAATGTTTAACCGTCTGTAATCGAAATGCCATTTCATTAGAGATGATCAAAAATTGATTATAAATCGAAATAAATCGTCAATTTTAAACACTTTTCTGGAAAAATAGTCTCAAGTATTCTCCACTAAAAGAGCGTAAAATATTGTCCGTATGTTTTGAGGTTTTTGAGTAATTGATTAGAAAAGAAGTACCTACCCGCAGAAAGATCCTCAAAAATCAAACCTCGAGCGTCCTTAAACGCTAAAGTCAAGCACTTTTTGTTAATGATCTGAATAAATACTTCTAAATAATAATTAAAAATTAATTATTAATTATTAAGAAATTCCCCAAAAATCTGGCGAAAACGGCATTTTTATGAGCCTTTGCAAAAATATGTACTGAACTGTTTATGTTTTAAGGGGCTTAGAAAGTTTCTTCTACGTTTCAAGATTTTTGAGTGCTTAATTTAGAAACAGCTGCCTTTGGTCAAAAGGCAATTTCTTGAGAGATGAATAACAAATCATAAAAACTTGCCTTCAAAGGTCATTTTTGATATAAAATGTTGTTTGTAAATATAAATTCAACTGTCTATAAAACTGCTTATAAACTTGTTTTTTCTGTAAATTCGCTACTGAGTAATAAATTTTGAAATAACTGTGTGTAGCCAATTTTAAGACTGTATAAAAATTCCCCAAAAAACACCGTTTTAAGACAATTGTATGCACTTTTCGGAATGTATAGCTTCAAGTATTTTTTTCATTTAAATAACTAAAAAGCTGGTTTGTTTCTTTCCAGGTTGGTGAGTAAGAAATTTTAAAAAATCTGCCTGTGCCCGAACTGCATGTTCAAAATACGTCGAAAACAATCCTCTAAAAACGTCCACAAACGCCAAGGCTGAGAACCTTTTCCTTAAATAATGTGTGACATCTTCTCTATTGAAAAGGCTGAAAAACCATCCTTAATTTGCGCAGGATTTTGCGTAATTAATTTTGAACTCGTCGATAGTATAAAAGCGCGTACGCCGAGAAAAATGATTGAAAAATGCTCATAAATCCCCCTTAAACGACATTTTTATGCATTTTTTTGGCAAATGAAACTTCAAATATTCTTTACGAAATAGTCCCAAAGCGCTTGTCGAGATTTGGGCAAATTTTTGTGTAATTAATTTCCAGCTAACTGCCTGGACTGGAAAAACTATACAACACATGTTTAAAATTTCCGCAAACCGCAATATTATGCAAGTTTGCTCAACTAGAAACTTAAATACTCTCTATCTAAAAAGCCTAGAAACTCTTGTATACCTGTCGAAATGCGATGTCAGGCGAAACAATTGAAAATTCCTCAAAAATCACCCTCAAACCGATGCACCTTTCGGAAAATGTGGCCCCAAATATTGTGCATTAAAAAAGCTAAAAAATTTGCCTATATCTTGCAGGTTTTTGAAGCATTCTTTAATGACCAATCGCTCCAAAATCGTGAAGATCTAACTCCAAGAAACATGACAACAAAATTGATCAAAAAACTCCCCTTAGTCGCACTGAGATTCAATTTTCCAAAAACTCGAACTCTTTCAGGAGTCCTCTGTAAAATGAGAATTAAAAATTGCGTCTGTTTCAACAAGTTTTTGAGAAATTAATTAATACCTTCCTTGAAAATTCTGAGCGATCGATGGCAGTCCAAATGCAATGCCCAGGGTTGGAAGTTTTTCAAAAATCGCCCTCAAACAATACGCAATGTACAAATTTCCGAACAAATAGACTCACTTCCCCGACATTAAATTGACTCAAAAGCATGCCTCAATTTGGGCAGTTTTTTCAGAAAATCTCTCAGTAAAACCTAAGATCCTCATTCCATGTTGGTGCGGTTTTTCTCGCTCAACTGTTGTAGATTTATGTTCAAACGACTCAAACCAGCCAATAAATAGCAGGAACATTTCTAAAAGCGTGCTGCTCGAGAAGGTCAAAGTCAACTTAAATGTCAGAACTCTAATTGAAACTGATGAGAAGAAACACTCTCGTCATGTTCAAATGGAAAAAAACTGGGAAAATACTCGCTTAAGGTTAAGCGCACTTAAAATTTATTGATCAATCAAAAAAACTATAAAACCGCATAATAATGCGATTTGTTGCAACGTAAATTGCATTTAACAGGCAGGTTTTTGTTTCAAAAAATAAAATAAGTGAGAACAACTTCCTAGAGAAATGATGTGAAAAGCACGACGGGAAAGGAACAATTGTGCGTTATCAAGTCACCTACTTTCCGCTGTTAATTCGGGTCTGCGATCTTTTTTAATTATTGTGTTGATTTTTATTGTGGCGTGCGATGTTATACAACCGATGCCCAAGTTGCTCAATGTCAGGTTTGGAACACGTTCCATTGTTTCATTACTAAATGCTCGAGGAAAGTGGTTTTATAACAAAACGGATTCAGTGCTGCAATCCCATCAAAAAACCAAAAAATATTCAAAAAAACCATTTTTGAATCGTCTATTTTTCCAAAGCAACAGCTCATTATGATATCGATTGTAACACCCTCCAGTCACATCATTAGGCTGATCTGGTGCAATCGCATGATATAATTGCCTGATTAAGATGATTATTTCATCGCACACATTCTACCATTCTGTGCTCCAATTGCGGCTTTAACAATGACGCCTTAATTACGATAATCCCAGTCTGATTGCCGATTCAATTAGTTCTTTCAGCAAATTGTTGTTACAATCAATTTGCCCGTATGTAAACCGTATGGAAATTAGCACTCTAGCAAGACCAAAACCGTATAATTCAGGTTTTTTCTTGACGAAATGCGTAATATTCATTGAAAGTTGTTCTAGGTTTTAGTAGGTCAATTCCAAGAAATCGATTTAAGATATACGTACTACTGGGGATAATCTTGATGTTGCCTGTGTACAAAAACTTAGGATCAATATACGCTTTTCGGATAAGATAATTCCTTATCAAAGCACCTACTCTCATTTTCAATTGTTTGGAGAATTTAATCCTCTGAATAAGGATGCGGAAGAACCAACACCCTCAGTGTCATCAATCAAATCGCATGATTTTCTTCATTAGCGTCAAAAAGCTTGTTGATCTCAGTTGCTATTAATTGCCTCCAGCTCTTCAGTTTCCATGTATATTAATCATCGGGCAAAAACAATAGACATTCTTCGCTTCACTGTGTACATTTCATGTTGAACAAGTGAAACCGAACGCCAGTTAGTGATAGCACCGGAATGAATGATCGGACCTGCCTTTTACCAAGTCAATCGAACAATCAATATTCTAGTGACTGAATGAAAGAAAGTTGCCCACTGTGATAAGGGAATTTTCGTATATAATGAAGATTCTTATTATCGCTATGCTGAAGAAAGAACTCGGTTTTTCTTGGCTTTGGAATATTTTTTTCAGAGCACTGATGAGGACGTTGACCCAAGAAAAAGAGCGTTTTTCGACCCATCAATAATAATAGAACTTTTCAGAATGATGAATTTTTCGGTCATTGGTTTGTCGATAAAAACCTCTTTTTCTCTTACTGGCTATATTTTAGTCATCATCAGAGTTTTGGAGCCCCTTTTCGAGCAACTTAAATGAAAGAAAGTCGTCTACTAATGAGGGTTTTTTGAAGAATGATTAAGTTTTTGGGCATCAATTTGCCTAAAAAATTCTGGATTTTTGCGCCACAGTTTCGACTATCGACATCATGGCTCAGGAATAAACTTCATTTGCAGCGCCTTTTTATGGCGATTAAAGTTTTGTCAGAACGCAGCCGCAAGAAAAACTGAAATTTTTTCGGTATACCGATTCGTAAAGCAGCAGTCGTAAAGGTTTTTGAGCTTCCTGCAGAGCCCTGATGATGTATAAAGCCCAACCAAAACTTTGGCAAAAAACGCCATTTCTTTAGCACACCGCTGACCAGAAATGTTCTTATTCTCTAAAAATTTTATGAATCGGCTACCTTGTTTGGCCAAGTGGTTCCAAAACCCTGATGATGGCTTAAATACAACCGCATCGTCGACCCAAGAAAAACAGCGGTTTTTATTGGAAGGTAAATACATTAAACTAAAACGTTTTCTGGTCAGCGGTTTGACAATAAACCACCGATTTTCTCGAGTAAATGTTTCGGACACATTTCAGCGATCGTCAGACTTCTGGCGTTTCTTCTAGAGCCTGATGATGGTCAAAATATGCTCAAAACTTTGGCTAAAAAAAAACAGCGAATGTTTCAGTACGCCTATAATCGAAAAATTTGGCCCCAAAAATTCCATTATTTTCGACAACTCGATTTTCACATTCGGCCACTTTCGTTCATTCAAGTCCCTCCAAAAAGAGCTCCAAAACCCTGATGATCACAGACTATACCCGAAACGCTGAGAAACACACAGCACGAGAAAAACATCGCAAATTGCGAGAATGATGAAAAAAACGCTGTTATTTTGGGTAATTGTTTTGGATATGTTTTAGCGATCATCTGAGAACTGGACTTTCTTCCAGAGTCTGATGATGATCAAAATATATTCGAAACGTTGGCTCAAAAAAAAACCAGCGATGATTTCAGCCCAAAAATTCATCATTCCGCAAAGACCTTAAAAAATCAGTTTTCACATTGGGTGATATTCTTTCAGTCAATTGCTTCTGGAAGAACCACCGGAACCATGATGACGGCAAAACATACGCAAAACATTGGCACAGTTTTTGTCGCACTGAAAAGCAGAATTTGCGAGAATGATGAATTTTTGGTTCCTTGTTTTGCAGGAAAAAACGCTGTTGTTCTTGAGTCAATGTTTCGAATATATTTTAGCGGTTAGCAGAGCTATGGAGTCTCTTGAAGCGCCCTGATGAAGGCCAAAATATAGTCGAAACGTTAGCTCAACAAAAATAGTGACTGTTTCAGCACGTTTCTGATCGAAAAAAATTGAGTTCTGATGTCAAACTATGCAAATCGATGACTAAATTGTATCATAGAATTAACAGAATTTTCTTTGATATTTTTTGAAATTGAGCAATTTTCGACACGTTGTTTCATCATCGCAGCCGTCATCATCATCAAACCAGGAGATATTATCTGGTTGAAATTTCCGCCAAAGAGGATTTCCTGGTTCCCAGCACTGTTACAAAACGGCTAATTACATCGAAAAAGATCCCCATATAGTGTTTGCAAAAGGAACCATTGTTAATCAAATAAAAGAATAGCAGATAGAGAAAGGAAGCACTTTTACCTAAAACGTGCTGGAGCAATAATTGGATTACCAGAAGTCGCATTAGGCGCTGTAATTATTGCCAATTGAATGGGAATTTTTTCAGTTCAACAGTGTCTTAATGATGTTACTTACTCCTGGTTCAAGTGATAGCGCCGTAAATCCATATTGTAAGAGGAAGAGCCATATTAGACCTGAAACAAAAATTGGGAAATCAATTCAATTAGGCCTTTTTCGATTTTTTGGGGTTGGAAATTCAGCCCCTAACTTTTCCTCCACTGAGGCTACTGGCAATTTAAGGACATTTTTTGAAAGATCAATGATTTCCACACAAAAAGCCCTCCCTTAGTCAAAAGGTCTAAACTGAGCCGTTTGGGAGAAAAATGGCATTTTGCGTTGGGAAATACGACAGTTCTGTAGCGCACTAATCGAAAATTAAAAATTGCGAAATAAGAGTGAGATTAGTACAAAACTTAAGCATATATCAGAGCGTTTTTGTAAAAATTTCAAGATTAATTATTATTATTAACAACGATTTGAATCTAACAAACACCAGTAAGTTGCACAATTGTACGTAATTGGAATGGACAAATCCAAATTGATCGACAATTTCCTGCTGATAAGGACACACGGACAGCTTAAATACTGTGTGTTTTAAATGAGAAACGCCTTTAAGCCAACCGAGCCCAATGATTTATGATTATTATTATTATCATTGCTATTATAGCACAGCCAATTAATGCCCGAATAGTTAGCATTTATATTGCAAAATTTTGCTCGCTTTTAGAGCTTCTTTCGTTGGTTTTATGGATGATTGTCTAACAAACTCGTTCAGTATCGATACCTGCATCCTATAAGCCAAAGCATCCGATTTAGTTGCAGATAAGAAGAAATACCAGATTGTAAGCGAGGCCGTTGTTCTCTTTTTGCATTATCCCAGGTTTTTCCTTATAAATATGAGTGCGGATTTCAACAGCACAGCTGGGCATGTTTCAAGATGAATCGACATGATTGGTCAACGCCCCGTAGTTGTTGTGACCATAAAAATCAAGGATCAATATTACGCCCAACCCATAAAAAATTGGGAATTTCAACTATTCGCTTCCTTATTGTCTGTTTGGGTTTCAGATATTCTACGATTTTTTCGTCTTCAGTTTCCAGCCTCTACAAGCGTCAGCAAATTGGATCATCGCTGGAAAATAGTGTGTGAATGATCGGGCAACTGTCGATCAAATTCACTTATGATAATTGGCCAAATCCAATCAGTTGATCACTTCAACTCAATTCATTAGAAATCGAAAGCAAGTCGTCGAATTTCGATTAAATAAGGTCGATTCTAGATGTATCTGGTAACAGTTAAATCGAACGGTTAATCTTTGCAATTTACGTTTTCATTAAGAGTCGTGCTTTATGAAGATTTACATAACGCGGCCAGCTTGAGTGATTGTCGGATTTTTGGAAGAGAACGTTTCAATTTGGTCGCCTACACATTGCTTTCAATCATCGGGCTTAATCATTGCAAATGCCGCACACAGCCAGTTATGCAACTGTTCCTAAACCAATTTATTTCCATAAAGACCCAGTATATTATTGATCAACTTTACCCACTGAGATTATTTTTCTAGACGCGACGAAGTGTGTCAGTTGCATATCCTCTTCCACATGTGAAAAATGCAGATGATTTTCAATCACCCAGTATATTTGTTGCAAAATGCTCGGAATGTTCAATGTTTAACAATGATAATTGAGCACAAGTGGATTGCAAAACATACACATACACTTGACACGTCTTCGGAACAAAGCCATTCTGCGGATATCCCTCTGATCTTTAGATAACCCGTAAAAATGCTATAATTAAGTGTCCTACAACACCATAATTTTCTATATAAGATATTCGGTGAAGAAATGCGAGATAAACGCGCTGGTAATTGAGCAAGCACAGAAGGTCAGCAAGGGGAAGAAACATAATGCATGGCTTCTCATCAATAACTGCCAATGTAATGCATAGTTATTAGTTAAAGCTGCTGAAGAACAGAGGAACTCCACTAAAGTTTAACTAAAAACATTGAAGGAAGCAACGGAAAGCTGTTCCGGAATAACTGGGAATTAAATCGCAAAAACGCAGGTTTGGCGCTTTTTCAAAAAAATAATTATTTCAGAAGCGACAAGCTCATTATCATATGGTCCAGTGGCGTGAAAATGGAATTTTGCAAACTGCCACAAGGAGAAAGGATTGGCAAACTCGATCAGTTACAATACCGGAATAAATCATTTCTTATGCGGATACGGAAGTCAACCAAGTGTAACATTGTTACGTCTGTATGTAAAGCAAATCCTATTTGTGCGGGTGTTCCCGGCTTTAGTAGCAAAGGAATTCAACGCAAAAATTCGTAAAAATTAACTGAATGTTTCCATTCAAGTCGCACAAGTTTGTTGAAGCTTCAGTTTCCACAAACTCGACCTTTCAAGAACAGCAAGCAGGAGGAAACTGTGTGCTTTTTGTCGTAGTTTTAAAAACAGGAAACATTGAACTGAAGCCAGAAAATCGGCCAAAATTATGCAATTTTTAAACTTCTCGTTATTGGAACTTTAGGTGGATTTTTTCCCAAATCGTATCAAAGTTGATTCAAAACTTAAGAGGTTTAAATTGGTGTTTGGCTTCGAATACACATTTTTTCCACAAGCAAGCTGGAGAAAACTATCTGCTTTCTTTAAGCACTTTTTAACTTTGATCGTTCTTGGAACTTTAGGCGGATTTTCGCTCAAATCGTCTGCACGTTGACTCAAAACTCAAACGGCTTATATTGCTGTTTGGCCTCAACCACGGAGTTTTTTTCGCAAGCAAGCAGAAAAAAACTGTGTTTTTTTGTCAAAGTTTTACAAACGGGAAACATTGGAATGAAGCAAATAAATCGAGCAAAATTAAGCAATTTTTAATCTTGATCGTTCTTGGAATTTTATGTGGACTTTTTTTCCAAATCGTGCGAAAGTTGATTCAAAACTTAAAGGGTTTAAATTGGTGTTTGGCCTCGAATACACATTTTTTCCACAAGCAAGCTGCAGAAAACTGTCTGTTTTCTTTAAGCACTTTTTAACTTTGATCGTTTTTATAACTTTAGGCGGACTTTCGCTCAAAATGTCTGCACGTTGACTCAAAACTCAAACGGCTTAAATTGCTGTTTGGCCTCAATCACAGAGCTTTTTTCGCAAGCAAGCAGAAGAAAACTGTGTTTTTTGTCAAAGTTTTACAAACGAGAAACATTGGAATGAAGCAAATAAATCGGGCAAAATTAAGCAATTTTTAATCTTGATCGTTC